TTAAAAACATTTCTCTAGGTCAAACCCTAATACGACTCAACTTCACAATTCACACTTGTAAATAATTACACATACATATACACTTGTACACTTACACAAATACATTCACATTGCCCTATACACATTTGTTTATCTTACATTTATATTTGATATTCATTTTGATCGCACATTCGATTTGGTTGTAAATTTGGGTACTATAAGTCTCATCCCCTTGTACATTTATACCCCCACTCCCGGACACTATTTTGTAATAGCGTAGATTTACATTCCGCAATTTACAATTTTCCAATTGTACCATGGTTAGACCTAGGGTTTGTATGTACATAAAATCAAACGCTAGATAACCTAATACAAGACAAATACATGTAATCAATACACAATCACACTTGCACCCCCTAGGGTAATCCCACATGTTGCCTTCCAAAATGGGCCATGCTTGCACGTCGAGTATCTTTGGCAAAACAAATCAAATGATCATAAGTCTCAAAGTGTTGCCTAAACGGAACGATCATAGTCCCTTCAAAGCGAATTGCCAAAGACACTTGGCATCATTGCACTCATGGTCCATACGATGACCCGCGCCCGTCCCGAATAAACTTCCTAAACGCAAGATTGTCCATCAATTTCAATGGTGGAACAAAATTGTTAAAAAGGGTTAAAACATGACAAAAACCTTTGAGTACAATAGGGTAGACAAAACTCTTAGTTACTTGAGATCAAACTTGCAAAAACACTTGCCTTATTTTCAAAAACCACCATCCACAACACTTTCAAACAAACTCTCAAAAACATTTGAAAACATCTTTTCGAAAAGATTCACACTTTTGTAAAACACTCAAACACGAGTCAAATACATTGGTTGCCTAAGACAAGGCATCTTTTTCCAAAAACCTTTTCAAAACCCACACCCACACACACACCATTTTCAAAGCAATCGAAAAACAAGGCAAGTGATCTAAAAAACCAAGTAACTAAGAGCCCATGGATAACCATGGATGAAAAGGGTGCTAATACCTTCCCTTTTCATAATCTACCCCCCGAACCCACGAAATATCTCAAAAGGTTTTTGCTGTGCTTTTTAACCTTTCCTTTAGGATAAAGTAAAAAGTCGGTGGCGACTCTTGCTCAACCGCACAAGTGCGAATACGAACGCAAAACACTAGTCAGTTCTCCCACCGTATCACATTCATTCATGCCATTTTCATGTTTTCTTTGCATATCTTCTGTACTGTTTTGTTTGATTCTGAACATTTTAATATGACAAGTTTTTCTGATCTAAATGTTTTAGCACATCACTTACACTTTTTGATTGCTGACAAAAAGGGGGAGAACAAGAATGATATTTTCAATAACGGATTACTAAGACAGAAAATCTCAAACATTCTAACTCTGATATACTTGAATATGTTTTCTGTTTTTGCTTAAGTCTACAGGTACAAGAATGCTCTCTGATATTCTGAAGACTAAAGCTCTGATACTCTGACCCAAGGCAAAGCTCTGATACTCTAATCTGAAGCTCTGCTCTGACATTCTGATCTAAAGCCTCTGATAGTCAAAGCTCTGATATTCTGATGATCAAAGAAAGACAATAAAGATCTGATCCTGAAGAACTCTTGGAATTAAAAAGGGAAGTAATAAATTCAGGGGGAGTATCTCTCAACTCTCATATCTCTCTATCCCTTATCCTTGATAACTTCTTACTCTGATACATCTCATCATTTAGTTATCTCTGATACCTTTTCACGTTATTTACAATTAAAAATATCTAGTTTTTGTCATCATCAAAAAGGGGGAGATTGTTAGAACAAAGTTTGAATCTACTACCCTAAGTTTAAGTTTTGATGATAACAAAATGAAAGGATATATTAATTATGTGATTCATGTAAGAACTATTTGCTACCTAAATTATTACCTTCTGTTTTGCAGAAACTCTGATAGGTATCAGCAAAGAGCACACTTAATCAGCATCAGAATATTGGTTATTAACATCAGCATCAGAAGTTGCTATATCAGAATACCAGAATCAGAAGACCAACTCACGCGATTGCTGAAGCTTGATGAACAGAACTGCGCTCAACACTCTGATAAAGACAACAACAGTTCATCAGCACTTAAGCAGAGTCAGAATGAGGCCAAGGCAGAACACGCTTTAAGTAGCAACGGTACTGTGCATTCAAAGTGAATTATTACCAACGACATCATTCCAGACAAGATCTGCTCAATAAGGAAAGTTTGTTATTGGCATTGAATCAAGATTATTGCTCCAACGTTCAACAATTTCAGTGCTATATAAACAACACAATGAAGATTAAATTGGCTAATGCTCTACATCATATTACACGCCTAAAAGCTAATCATCATCTTCCTTCTCTCAGTTTGCTAAACGCTTCATATTTCCTTACTCAGTATTTTAGCAATCTAGTTTCAATAAGCTTAAATTGTGTAACATCACAGTTGTGATACAGTTTTGTAGAAAACATTCACACACCTAGATTTCTCTTCTTTGTAAGAAAGTGTTTCCTTGACAAACCGGTTTGTGGTTTGCATCAAGAAGGCTTTAGCAGTTGTTAAAGCAGTTTGTAATATTCAGTTGAATATAGTGGATTAAGACCTCGTTGGAGAGAGGCGAAATCACCTTGACGGGTGGACTGGAGTAGTTTGAGATCAAACGAACCAGGATAAAAATTTCGTGTTCATTGCAATTGATTTTCAGTTTTACAATTCAACCCCCTTCTTGTGTTTTTCACTTCTTCAAGTATAAGTGTGACTAAAAACAGAACATACTTTTAGGGATTTCGTTATTACCGTAAAATCAGAGACGTCGTGGAAATTGTAACTCTGACATAAGAAGATGAAGATAGTCTAGAATCTAAGATATCCCAAATTTCAGGCTCTTCATCTCCAACTCCAAATTAAAGCTTTCAGGTTCTTGATGACAACATCTAAGTCACATTCACTTTCTTGGAGAGCTCTCTCAAGAACCTGAAAAGTCAAACATCAATACAGTAGCAAAATATTCTTACATTAAACATCAATATAATGAAGATCGGAGGCAAATCCTCTTCGAATCTGACATTAATTATGACACTAATAACCTGACAGACGTGCCCGATCGCTCCCTTACCAGTGCACTCATCGGTGATTTTACCACCTCTAGGAACCTCCTTTATTGCTGGAGGCGGAGATGGATGAGTGGTAGCAACTGCGGCAGAAGTGGCGTAATCAACAACGCAATTAAGAAGGTAACTGCAAGGAGAGGCACCACACTGAGAAGTGAGAATTCAAATTTTCGTTGAATACATTGAGATAAATGAAATATAATTTCAGAGTAAGTCTATTTAAATCCCCAAAAACACATGATTTTGATTTGTAAATTTGGTTGTGACTGTTGAGTTTCTATTGAATACATTGGGGATACAGAAAATTAAATTTCAATTGAAAAATTAAATTTTTTTTTTTAATTTCTGTAATATTCTCAATACTTTAAAATATTAGAGATTTAAAGAAAATAAAAAATAGGAAGAAAAATTAGGAGAGTGACACATCATCAATAATAAATACTAAATGAATATAAGTGAAACAAGTTTGAAATAAGATATTATTAACCCTGAAATTAAAAAAGTTTGAATATAATCTCAGAAGAATAGATGTAATTTTTTTAGATACTTTAAAATTTATATATTTATATTAGATAGATGAAGTATTGGATTGAATAGATATAAATAAATAAATATATAAATAAATAAATAGATAAATGAGAGATTACAAATCCTTCTCATAAAGGTCGACATATTCTAACTTCCAACGTAGATAATAATAAAAAATAAATAAATTAATAGGAGTCTTATTATATAAGTCAACTATCATATAAAATTATATTAATACATGTCATAGTTTTTAAAAGAATAATGAGTAGTATATCATATTTTATATTACACCACTTGAATAATATAAATTAAGATTTAAAACCATAATTAACCTAATTAAAATATCAAAAACGTTATCATGACATCAATTTATTACACTTACACTTAATGTGCACAAATATGTGAATATTATTTATATTATTATTTTAATTTTGTAATATATTTTTCAGTTTTTTAAAAAAAAATTATTTTAATTAATGAAATATAAAAATTTGATTAATACAGTTTAAATTTTAGTTAATATATATTCTGACATAAAAAAATTTATATATATACTGTTTAGATTTTGGTTAATAGTTTGTATAAAATTAATTAATATAATTTATAATTTAATTAATGAATTTTCAAATAAAAAATATTAAATAATAAAATAAAATTGGTTAATAAAGTATAAAAATTAATTAATACATTTATAATTTAGTGTCAGAATATAATTAATATTATATATTTTATTAGTTAATGAAATACTAAAAATAATTAATGAATTATAAGTAAAAATAATTAATTAATAACATACATTTTTTTGATTAATACAATTATGAAATTAGTCAATAACACAATCATATATTTATATTATTTAAAAAAGAAAAAATATTTTTTAAATTATATTATTTTATTAAAAAAACACTATTCACCATATAAATTCATTAACAGTAAATACGGTGTATCACTGAGTGCAAGAAGTCATAACAAACCTGTTGAAGTATAAAAAAAGAACCCAGTTTCAACACACCAAACCAAGTCAAAGTATAATGAAGTGTTGGAATAAAATGTTACTCGATCGCACAGGTCTTCAAAAATAGAATAAAAACTGGAATTACCTATGTTAACATGTTTTTTACCCAAACACCACCATGGTCACATTAAATTGTGACATCATGCTAGATGTGACCTTGATCAAAACCGAGTGGGTGGAAAGAAGTTTTAGCTACATGGAGAAAGGTTCTGCTTCTATTTACATAATTTCTACCAGTATATATTTAGTCTCAATTTAAGAACTGAACTCATAATACCCTAACTTTTCTACTTACCAACGTTGAATATTCATTTCTTCTGTTTTCTTTCATTTGAACAATGTTTCAACTTGAAGTGCTTCTTCCGTATATTCTCTTGTTAATCTTTCCCGTAGTACTCTTCTTCTTAACAAAACCAACCAACAAGAACATCAGCATCCCAAAATCATATCCACTCATCGGCTCTTACTTATCTTACAGAAACAACTTACACCGCCGCATCCAGTGGCTCTCCGATATCATCCAAATCTCCCCCTCCGCCACTTTCCAACTCGACGGCGCCTTAGGTAAACGCCAAATCATCACCGGAAACCCATCCACAGTCCAACACATTCTCAAAAACCAATTTTCCAATTACCAAAAAGGCACATCCTTCACAACAACCCTCTCCGATTTCTTAGGAACCGGAATCTTCAACACAGACGGCCAAAACTGGAAGTTCCAAAGACAGGTAGCAAGCCACGAATTCAACACCAAATCAATCCGTAACTTCGTGGAACACATAGTCGACACAGAACTCACCAGCCGTTTAATCCCAATCCTATATTTATCAACCCAAACAAACCAAATCCTCGACTTCCAAGATATTCTCCAACGTTTCACTTTCGACAACATCTGCAAAATCGCGTTCGGTTTCGATCCAGAGTATCTAACTCCGTCAACTAACAGAACAAGATTCGCACTAGCTTACGAAGACGCAATGGAAATAAGCTGCAAACGTTTCCGTTTACCATTACCAATCATATGGAAAATAAAAAGATACTTCAACATAGGTTCGGAGAAGCGTCTCAAGGAAGCAGTAACAGAAGTACGGGAATTCGCGAAAAATATAGTACGAGAAAAAAAACGAGAGTTGGAAGAAACATCATCGCTTCAAACAGAAGACATGTTATCACGTTTTTTAAGTTCTGGTCATTCAGAAGAAGAGTTTGTTACGGATATGGTAATAAGTTTTATTTTAGCAGGGAAAGATACAACTTCAGGTGCATTAACATGGTTTTTCTGGCTACTATGGAAGAATCCACGTGTTGAGGAAGAGATTGTGAAGGAAGTGAGTAAAAAATCCGAGTCGTTGGTTTATGATGAAGTGAAGGAAATGGTTTATACGCATGCAGCGTTGAGTGAGAGTATGAGATTGTATCCACCCGTGCCGATGGATACTAAGGAAGCTGTGAAAGACGATGTTTTACCGGATGGGAGGTTTGTGAAGAAAGGGACGATAGTGACTTATCATGTTTATGCGATGGGGAGGATGAAGAGTTTGTGGGGGGATGATTGGGCTGAGTTTAGGCCGGAGAGGTGGTTAGAGAGAGATGTGGTGAATGGGAAATGGGTTTTTGTGGGGAGAGATTTATATTCTTATCCGGTTTTCCAGGCTGGGCCTAGGGTTTGTTTGGGGAAGGAAATGGCTTTTATGCAAATGAAGAGGATTGTTGCTGGGATTGTTGGGAAGTTTAAGGTGGTTCCTGAGGGGAATAAGGATGAACATCCTGGTTTTATTTCTTTTTTGACTTCGCAGATGGAAGGTGGGTTTCCTGTCACCATTCAAAAGAAGTTTCCTTGATTAATCCACGATATCATTCATATAGTAATAGTATAATTGATATAGAAGAATAAAGAAATAAATTTGACTTGTTTGTTTTGTTAATGTTTAAATAAGTAGTATCTAGATGCTTATTTTAGGATTGACTATGTAGCGTACGCATGATATAGCGCGTTTTGATTTCTTTGTTGGTTGTGGTTGTTGGAGGTTGCTAGAGGGATATGTATAAATTATAATGTAGTTCCTTATTTAATATTGTATGATGTTTTATTTGTGGTAAAATGCTTCGATTGAAGTTTGATAAACACTAGTAACAAACTTGAGCGGGGTTCTGGTCCGATCTCGCATTGTTGACATCTATAAATATATTTGTAACAAAAGAGAAATAATAATGATATAAGTACATAGAAGAAAGATAGAAAGATAATTGGAGTGTTATTATATCACAAATACAAAGAAACAAATACGAAAAAACAATAAAGAAGTTAAGTGATATCTTAGACCATAAATTTTTAGATATAGAAATCTAATATAAGAGTTGATATAAATAAAAAAGAAAATAATAGATGAAATAATTTATTGCATAATCGGTTAATTTGCAAAAATATGTGCAATAGACATATAATATTTAATAAAATAAAATATATTATTATTATTATTATTATTATTATTATTATTATTATTATTATTATTATTATTATTATTATTATTATTATTATTAAAAGTAAGTATAAATGTATAGTTTGAAAATGATTGTTATCGGAATAATACAAATGAAATGGACCATGTGATTAAGAGAATGACACCATAAAAAAATTAGGACTTTACGACACATCACAAGGCTACTTAAAAACGGCCCTAAACCTCAAATAGTGATAGTTACGACGACAATATATGTCAACCGCCTTTACATTTAAAAAAAATATAAAGATTGCGATGGTTGGTTCCTTGAACCGCCCTAAAGAGAAGGTAACGAAGGTGGCACACCCGCCGCGACCTCTAAAATTTCCACCGCGCAAAATATAACCAAAGATCATCTTTGGAACGAGAAAAGTTAACAAATTTCGCGACAGTGTGCCACCCGTTGTCCACCCTCGACTTTTACCCGCGAAAGAACAATGAAAACCACATAAAGGTTACGTTATTTCACATTTTATTTGTTCTTCTTTCTCTTCTTTTCTCATCTTCACATATCTCTCGCCATCATTCTTCACATAGACGGTTGGATTCTCAATCAAAGAAGCATCAAGTTCATCTCTCAACTCGTATCAAGTTATGCTTCTATCGATTAATCGATAAGTTTATATTTCCCTTTCTATTGATGCTTTTATCAATTAGGGTTTACTATGAACTCTACTATTTTGTTTTGATAATGGTAACCTATAGTTCTTAAATAAAAAATCACTTAGGGTTTACTAGAACAATGTTTAGAACCCCTAAATAATATAGGGTTGAAAATAGTGAAAATGGAACTGTTCCTCATAATAAATGGAGAAATTATGATGATATCAATGAATATTTTTAGAGTAGGGGGCGTTTTGAGAAGCTTAAATGGCCTTCTGATGTTGGGAGCAACTCTTTGTGACTCTTGGTAAAGGGAGACATGTGGGTAAAATTGGGTTTATGGAGCAGAGGTCGTTTTGGAATCTTCAGGAGTTTTGATAGGCTTTGGATCATGTTAGAATATGTTTGCTAAGTATTCGTTATTGAGTATGAAGGGTTTGAATTTGTCCACAACAACCGATTTTCTGCTGGAATATTATGGATTCCAGTTGTTTTGATTTATCTAATGGATATACAAATTTGGTATTCATATATTCGTCTTTTGTTGGGGCAACTGTGGGGTTGCTTGTGTTGGAAATCCACCAAATATCTATGATGAATTTCTACCAATCTTGATGAACAAGATTGATATCACCACACAATGACAATGAATTATGAGAAAAGAAAAGAAAAGAAAGAAGACAATTATTTTCTGCAGAGTTTCTCTCTGCCCACAAACCGTGGAAAACATTATTAATCACTTGTAACTGCAAATTCTGTGATTACAATGAATTGACTTAATTACAAAATTAGGGGTTACTCCCTCTATTTTTAGATTTAGGTTAGCTTGCTACCTAAGCCAAAGGCCAAAACTATAAAAGCCCAAAATACCTATTTTGGTACTAAATCAAATCTATCTATTTTAGTTCTAAATCAAATTTATCTAAATCTAAAACCAATTAAATATGTGTGTAACTTGCTTCGATCCACAAGCTCTTCGACTGGGCAACCTCTCTTCGACACACACATTGTTTCGACACAATGGAATTACAATTTAACACACCACCTAATTCATTTTTTCTAAACTATCTATATTCATCATGGTTCTTAGTCTTCTGAGTACTTCGACCCGCACTCTCTTCATCATGATGTCTACAATCTAATTCTCATTTCTGCAGTGTTCCAAATTCATCTTCTCATCTGCTACCTGCTATCGAAGATAGTGGAACCTCATTTAGATGTGCTTGCTTCGACCATGTGCTATCGTGTTCTTCGCCAGATTGATAACTGACATGCTGTCGATCTTTATGGTAATTGCTCCATGATCTTTCCCTGTTATCTCTTCGACCAAGTTCACCATCCAAGTTGCTTGACATGCACAAAGAGAAGTAGCTACGTATTATGCTTCGCATGATGATAATGCCACTACTGGTTCCTCTCTTGAACTCTAAGCAACGGGTGCACCACCTAACATAAACACATATCCTGCTGTTGATTCTCGATCTTCAGCATCACTACACCAACTCGAATCAGTGTATTCCACTATAGTCAAGAGTTCCTTTGAGATACCTCAATATCCTCTTCACCGCTGCTAGATGTGATACCTTTGGCTTCTGCATGAATCTACTTACTATACATACACTATATGCTAAGTCAAGCCTTGTATGACAAATGTATCTTAATGATCCAATAAGTCTTCTGTATTGGGTTGGGTCAACATCATCTTCATGTGTATCTTTCGACAGTTGTAGTCTTGTTTCTACAGGTGTCGAAGTTGAGTTGCATTCTTCCATCTCAAATATCTTGAGAATTTCTCCTAAATATCTTCTTTGATGCGTCATCAAACCTCTATTTCTCTTGTAGAATTCGATGCCAAGGAAATATGAAATCTCACCCAGATCATACATTTCGAATTCCTTGCTGAGATCACCTTTGAAGTCTTCGATCTCACTCTTGCAGCTACATGTTATCAACAAATCATCGACATAGAGACATTGTATAAGAAATTCACTATTACTTCTTCTTACATATACTCCATGTTCAGTTGTGCACTTCACAAATTCCTTCTCCCTTAGTAAACTATCAATTTTCTTATTCCAAGCTCTTGGAGCTTGTTTCAATTCATACAGGGCTTTATGCAGCCTGTACACCTTTCTCTCTTTATGATGTTTCACAAACCCAACTGGTTATTTAACATAAACTTCTTCGTCTAAGGGTCCATTCAGGAATGCACACTTCACGTCCATCTGACATATTTGCCATCTGTTTATTTCTGCTAGACCAATAACCAACCTGATTGTTTCGATCCTAGAAATAGGTGCAAAAACTTCATTGAAGGCTATTCCTTCTTTTTGTAGAAATCCTTTCGCCATAAGCCTTGCTTTGTGTCGAGTTACTTCCTCTTTGGAATTCATTTTAACTTTGTATACCCACTTGACATCAATTTCCTTCTTTCCTTTAGGCAATTCGATAAGTGACCAAGTGTTGTTGTCTTCAATAGACTTCACTTCTTCGTTCTTTGCTTTCACCCACTTTGAATCCTTCAATGCTTCAGCTGCATTGACAGGTTCGACATCTGCATAGAAAGCATAATGTACCAACTCACCTTCATTATCTATCACATCGTCTGATGTAATCACACAATCTTGTAATCTTGCAGGCACGCGTCTTGTTCTTTGAGGTCTGCTTGTACTTGGTTGATCTATAATTGTTGGTTCCTCTTGTCGAACTTCTCTTTCGACTTGAGTTTCTGGTTCTTCAAGTAGCATTCCCACTGAATCTTTCTTGACATTTTCAGTCCAATCCCATTCTTTAAGCTCATCTATGATCACGTCCCTGATGATCACAATCTGCTTGTTCACTGGGTCGAACAACTTGTAACCTCATGTCGAATGATATCCAACTAGAATCATTTGACTTGACTTGTCATCAAGTTTTCTTCTCAACTGATCTGGAACGTGTCTATGTGCAATAGATCCAGATACCTTCAGATGACTCAAGCTAGGCTTCACACCATACCAACATTCCTCTGGAGTAATTCCTTCTAGCTTCTTCGTAGGACATCTGTTCAAAATGTATGTTGTCGTCGACATAACTTCACCCCAAAACTCTTTAGGTAAATTCTTTCCTTTCAACATACTTCTCACCATATTCATGATGGTTCGATTCTTCCTTTCTGCAGTTCCATTATGCTGTGGAGTATAGGGTGGCACCACCTCATGCACAATCCCTTCATTTTCACATAACATGTCGAAGTCTTTCGACACATACTCTCCACCGCCAGCAGTTCTCAAAACTTTGATTTTTCGACCACTTTGTCTTTTGACCATAGACTTAAACTTGGAAAATATCTCGATCACTTCACTTTTCTTCTTGATCAGGTAAGTCCACAACTTTAGACTAAAATCATCTATGAATGTAACAAAATATTTGTTACCTCCCATTGAATCCACCTGGATTGGTCCACATACATCAGAGTATATGACTTCAAGAATAACCTTTGACCTGCTTCCTGCATCCTTGCTGAAGTTATTCTTGTGCTGCTTTGCCTGCACACATTCCTCACATATCTCGTTTGGAATGTCGATTTCTAGAAATCCTGAAACCATATTTCTTCTCTTCAAATCTCTGATGTCTCTGAAGTTGATATGGCCTAGTCGATAATGCCATATCCATTCATCTCTGCTAGCTGCAGTCGAAAGGCACTTGTGCTCCATCACATTTAGTTTAATCTTGAAGGTTCTATTCTGAGACATAGG